ATTAGATTATTTTTACTTTTTTCTTCTGAGTTTCGGTTGAGAAATTTCTGAGCATTCTTCCTCTTCACTAAACAAACTATAGCATTTTTCAAAATTAATGTCAGAGTATTTTACTACTTAATTCACAAAAATTCATTTCCTATTTTTATTAACTTATAATAATTAACTCTAGTAACAATACCTAAATAATTATCCGTGTAGTTCGCATGCAAGTGTGTGCGACATGTGAGATACAATAAAGTATATAAAATAAAAATATAGATGTGTAATATAAATGTATTAAAAATAATCAGTAGATGTTGTTGAGAGAGAGAGAGAGATTATTACATTATCTATATAAACAAAACAATATAAAAAATACCAAGATTAGAAAGGTTAATAGTAAAAATTACTTTCTAAATTGAAAAAAGTTCTGTTTAAAGACTAATAAAAACTAAATGCCTATGACCAAAACGAATGTAAACATATAAGAAGAATAACCTCAAATCAATCACTACTTCTTATTTGTAAATAACTAATTGTTTTTAGTGGTTGTGAACACATAAAAAGAAAGAATTATCAATTTACAAAATATGACAAGAATAAATGAAATTCCTCCATTCGTTGAGGAAATAACAATTGAAAACAACACGGAGCAAACTATTCAAGAGATACTTAACAGGGATAAATTTAAGCAACCTATTCCTGATAAATTTGTTAAGTTAACTAATGCTAAGAAAAATAATTGGGGTTCCACCGAAGATTTAGATAAACCTTCTTTATGTGAAAGATATTTATTTGTGTGGGAAAATAAGCGGATTTGGTTGGATATTCCCTATGACTTAATGGAGAAATTGGAATTGCCAGTAGGAAAAGTTTGCCCTTGACCTTTTTACTTAAATCCTAAAGTATTAGCAGAAAGAGAAGAAGTAGAGGGAGCTATTACTATTGAAAACGAAAAAGAAGTATTTATAGATAAGCCGGTATCAGAAAAAAATGCAAAAGAGGAATTGGTGAAGAGATTAGAGGAATTGAAAGAATTGAGAAAAAAAGTTAAACAATTAGAAGTTTTACAAAGTAAGAAAGTAAGTTTAGAAGAAAAAGTAAATAAGTTAGAAGAAGAAATTCAAGAAAAGGACAGACAAGTTAACCATCGAGAAGAACTAATCAAAGAAGGAATGAAAATAAAAGAACAACTTCAAAAAGAGTTAGAAGAAATAAAAACCAAAAAAAGAGATTGGAGGAGTTTTTATGACTGATTGGTAAGCAAGGGAGTCGAGTGAAATTGAAATCATTTTAGTGATGGCATTTTTTTTGAAGGTCGTAAACTTACCCAACAAGAACTACAAAAAATAAAAGACGACGTTATAACAGAAAAAAGATTTCCTAGGTGTAATTTGAAAGTTGGCGAAATAAATAATTATTTATGAGATTTAAAAGCAAAAAACTCTCACATATATATAAAAGTGGAAAATAATCTAGTAAAATTTTTTGTATGTTTAGAACATCATTTGGGTGTGAAAGATTATAGTGGAGAATGATTTGTTTCAAAACATCCACTACCTGAATATAAAGAAAGTTTTTTTCCAACTCAGTATCTTGGAGATTTTTTAACTAAAGTCTATGGTCAAGATTACGATTTTATTCAGGCTAAACTATTAATAGATTGCTTAATCAATCATTGAAGGGAAGAAATTCCTTTACAAACTACTACATAATAAATAATCATGGTAATCAAAGAAAAAGACAAAGTCTCTTTTCTAAATCTAATTGAAACGAGACTTATTTGCTCTAATATTGATTGAAAAGAATTAGGTAATGATACATTAGGTAGCCCTTATCGTAACCTCCGCCCATATGGCGGAGGCTGTGAATGTTGAGGAGGCACTCCCGAAGAGGAAATGGAATGGCATGTTACTCACCTTAATAAATGTGTTAAAAGTTATAAGCAACTTGGAAAATTAAGAGAAAGTTTGTGAAATCTCATCATCCAAGAAGGTGAACGATTCAAGAAAGAAAAGAAGAAAGTTTGAGAAGGAATTAAAGAAAAAGCACATAAATTAGGTCTTAGCGATATTTCTGGAAAATGAGAAATAATGAATTGCACTAATAAAAAATTACTTAAAGATAAAGAAGACAGCAAACTCGCTTATCTAGAAAACCTCGCTAATACTTGACAAAAAAACTCTGAAGCAGAAAAGGAAAAATTAAAAAATCAAGAAGCAGAAAGAATTAAACAAGAACAACAGAAAGTGCAAGCAGAAGAAGCAAAAAGGAAAAACCAAGAAGAGGAAGTTAAACGAAAAGAACAAGAGTTTAAAAAACGAGTTGATGAAGAAAAGAAAGAAACAAACCCCAAAAACGATAAAGAGTTTAATGATTTAAAAAACAAATTCTATGAACTTTACCAAAAAGATAAAAAATACACCTGAATCGAATTAATGAGATTAAAAGATATCATTGGCATAATTGAAAATAGAACTGGTTTAGATAATGATTTACAAGATGCTAAAACTGAATTACAGATTATTAAAGACAAGTTAGAACCTTACTGGAAACAAATTACTCCAATAACCTTGAGGGGAAAAGCCACAAAAGAAAAGTTGGAAGGATTAGAAAAACATGAGTTAGAAAATTGTAAGGAAACACTGGAAGAAATGGAAAAAATTATCTATTTAAATGAATGAGAAAAAAATTTATTGGAAAAAATTAATAACAAATTAAAAACCTTTGGTTTAGAAGAAGAAATAAGACAATTAAAAAAGAATAAAACAGATGACCCTCAACAACAAGCCGAAAATCAGAAAAAAATTGAAGAGAAGGAAAAAGAGTTAGAAGAGATTAGAAAAAGGTTTAAAAGTGAAGAAAATAAACAGTTCCAAATTTCTCCTCAAATTCTTTCCAAATTCCAATCTACTCCTAGTTTTGAAACTAACACTAAAGAAAAAATAGAAGCCTTAATTAATCCAATTAAAGATAATCCTGAATTTTTACAAGAAGTTCAAACTAAATATCAGGTTGAAGATTTAAGTAGTTTACTTGCTAATAAGACTCCTAAAGAAGTAATTATAATTGTTAAACGTTTTGAGTATGAAAATTTAAGTCTCCGTGATAAAGAAACTAAAGATAAAGAAATAGAAACCTATTACCAAAAATTAAATCAGTTGGCAAAGAATGGAAAGTTAACTGAGAAACAAATTAATGAATATTTATGTTTAGAAGCAACAAATAGACTTGAAAAAAACTTAATTAGCAACAACAAATCAGGAACAAGGAAAGATAGTAATAAAAGCGTGATAGAAATAGTTAAATATGCTACTTTAACAACAGCAGGAGTTTTCTTTACTATTGCTCTAGTTGCTTTCGTTCTTCGACATTTATACCATCAAATTAGAAGAAAAAAGGCAAAAAAAGTATATCGACCAACTTATCCAAAAAATATTTCAGAAAACGAACTCTCAAAACTTAATGATTTAAATGAAGAGTGAATAAAACAAAGCATTGAGCATAATAAAAGACATATATCAAGAAAGAGAATAATTGTTATTTCTAGAACACTTTATCAGCAGATATCACTTTTTATAGAGGAGAAGTTAAAAACTTTGTTAAACGAATATGAATAGCATAGAAACAGAAAAAGAAAATCTCAGAAAAGAAATAAGAAATTTAATAAATCAGATTGAGGAAAAGAAAGTTATTTATAAGAAGAAATTAGATTCAGCACAAAAAAGCGATAAGGAGTTGGAAGAAACTTATTTGGAAATTAACAAGTTAATAGAAGATGTCAATAAGTTAAATGAGGAATTAAAAAAGATGAATGGAAAAACTTAATTTTTTTCTTTCATTCCCATAACAATTATATAAAACCTATATTATATGACCACCCATATCAAACCACCTCTTCAAGTCTCTTGCTCTAACTGCCAGACAAAGTTTGAAATCTTTTACAGCCAATTCCATAAACAATACTACCAAAAGAATAACTTAGACTACTGAACTGAAAGAGAGGAAGACAAAGATAAATACATCTGCAGCAATTGTTTACGCTATCTTTATCACAACCAAAAATGGAAATACCTAGTTCCGAGCGAACTTAAAACTTCACCAATATTTCTTGGAATCTACGTTATTTTGGTCGTGATTAATATTATTTGTGCTTCGGGCGCCTCAGCTTTTTTTCACGTTTATAGTGAAAAGTTAGAAAAATGTTCTCGTCAAATTGCTTGATTTGAGCGAGGTCATTTAATAATTTTTGGGGTGTTTTTGGATAGGTAGAGTTATTTCCATTAAATAAAATTATATTATACAAAATTTTAATTAAAAATAAACATAAATTATGCCCTCATCAGAAGAAATAAATAAATTACTTACAACTATAATAAAAGAATTAGAAGATCAGCATTCCGAACAGTTTGCAAGTTTTAAGTCAGAATTAATTCCCCCAGCAGAAAGGAGAAAAAACCTCCCCCTCAAAGTTAAATCATATTTTCCCTTTACAAAGAAAGAAAAATACGAAATTAAAAAGGGTGAGTTAATAAGTTTGATAGAATGGACGACTTGTCTTCAACAATTATTAAATGAAAAAGACGGGGAAATCACCAACCTAAAAAACGAAGCCGAATCTAATGGCAGTGGTTTTAAACAATTAAAAAGTAGGTATGACACTCTAAAAAAAAGTTTTGATTGGTCTGAACAAGCCAGGGGAGAATTGGATAAAGAAAATCGACAATTAAAAGATGAAAACGAGCGATTAGAAGGAGAAAATAGTTTACTAAAATTTGAGAATTCAACTTTGGGAAAAGGAAGAAAAGATTCTGGTTATGAGGAAGATGATGATAGAAGTATCAAAAGTTATTTTAGTGACAAAACGGCTATAAAAGATAATAAACATACACCAATTCACTATATACATAAGAGAGAGAGAGAGAGAGAGAGAGACAAAAATTCTAACCCCCCTCTCACTATCACTAACTTCTCCGAGCAGAAAGAGCAGTCTAATAGTCAGATAGAGGAGTTAAAGAGAAAAAAGCAGGAATTAGAGGCCAAAAATCAAGAATTAGAACAGCAATTAGCCGCCGCCAATCCTTCATCCACCGCATATTATAATAAACACCTCCTTGATGAAATTGATGTTCTCCAAAAAGCCAAAATAAGAGATAATGGAGAAATTGCCGCTCTAAAACAAAATTCACTTTTGAAAGATGGCAAAATTGGCCTATTAAAAAATCAAAATCAAACTCTAACTACTAAGTTAAATGATGCTCTCCGAGAAATAGAACAATTAAAAAAACACACTTGCCCGACAGGGGAAGATAGTTCAGTAGTAGACGGTTTACGCCAGCAATTAGCAAAAGTCGAGCAAGAAAAAGCCCAGGTCAAACAAGAATTAGAAACCGTCCAAGATGACCGAGACAGAATTAAGGAAGAAAGTGATAGGCAAGCCGAAGAAGTGGGAAAAAAAGAAAGTCAAATTGCTACTCTGATTAATGAAAAAAATGAAATTGAGGGAAAATTGCAAAATCTAACGATTAAAAAAAACGAGTTAGAAACTAATTTAGCCAATGCCCAAAATGAACTATCAGCAAAGGAAAAAGAGAAGGAGGGTTTGATATCAAGTTTAGCCGCCGAAACCCAAGCCAAAAACGAGGCTCAAGCGAAATTAAATAACACCCGCGAGGAGTTAAAAAATAAAACTGCGGAGGTAAAGCAAATTCAAACGAAAATTAACACTCTTGACAGTCAGTTAAAAGACACACTTCAATCTTTGCATGGTTTACAAGAAGAAAATAAAGAATTATCAAAAAGGCCGCCATTAGACGACTACAATAAACTAAAAAACGCCTTAGCCCAAGCCCAAGAAGATTTAATTCTGGCCGATAACCGCATTGATGAACTAATTGCTGAACGGGATGCCCGTCCGGATATTACCCAAACTGAATATGACAACCTAGTCCGAAAAGCCCAGCAGTTAGATGCCGAACAAAAAAAAGTGGAACTTCTCCAAAACAAAGCCCACAGTCTCCAAGGCGAATTGGCTACTGAAAAAGCCGCCCACTCCCATACCCAAGGGCAGTTAACTAATGCTAACCTCAAACTGGCTACCTATGAAAATTACCTAAAAAGTGAATTAAAGATAGTTGACTTAACTGACTTACCAACTCTACCGGCCGAACAAAGTTTAACCGATTTAATTGCTTTCTTTAACCTTCATAGCCAGCATGATTGTTGCAACCCACTGCATAGTGATTATGACAATCTAAAAACCCGTTTAGAACAAGCCGAAGCCGACCGCGACCAATTGGCAACTGAAACCGAAGAAGTGAAAAATCTAAAAACCCGAATTGAAAACGATTATCACAAAGAAAAGCAAACACGGGAAAAAGTGGAGCAAGAAAGAGATAATTATCAGCAACAACTCAGTCAACAAGAAAAAGAAATAATTACCAAATTTATCACGGAATTAAAATTAGTTAATTGTAATGAAAATAGTTCTCCGGAAAAAGTTATTGAAGTCATTCAACAGTTATTAATAAAACCTGATAATAATTCAGATACTCCGTTTGGTGAAAGTTTAGCCAATATTAAAAAAGTAGACCTCAAAATGTTCCAAAATCTTGGGATAACCCCATCCAAAGAATTCAAAAATGATATTGAAAAAGTGAATAATTACCAAGAATTAGTAGATTTGCGTCAACAAGAAATTAAGGCTCACCTAGCCCAAGAAAATAGTCGTTTCCAAACTGTTAATCAAGAAAAAGGTCAATTAATTAACCGCCAAAAAAATGAAAGAATAATTTTTATTGCTCTCTTAATAGTCGGAGCCATCACAGCGACATTTTTGAGTTGGCAAATTAAGAAAACTCAAAACTCCAATAAAAAGTATCGCCGGGAACACCAGAGCATTCATCAACAATTAGCCGAATTGCGGCAAGAGATGAGGGTTATACTTTCCACCGTTCTTAAACGAGAAAAATCACCTGCTGCGTAAATTTCCAAAATCAACCTTTTTATCGTGGATTAATTTTGGATAGGTGTTTTGCTGTTGGTGGTTGTTGTGACTAATTAGCGGAAGTTAAAATAACTATATAGTTCATGACTGAGAAGAAGTCAAAAAAGATTATCAATTATCTAGTTAATTATTATTCTTGTTTGAGACTATGATGAATCGCCACTTACTACCACTTTACTCATAATTGACTGTTATCGTGAAAGAAAATTTGATAAGAAATAAAAATATGACAACAAAAAATAATAATTCGAAAAAGTTAAAACCGTTTACCGAGCCATTGATGTTTTGGAACTAGAAAGAATGCAACAACCAGGATATCGCCGAATAAATCAAGGTTTAGCCGTCAATATTACTCCCTCAGAAAAAAGCAAGTATGAGATTTGCAAAATATTTTACGTTATAAAAGGGAGAATGGTTTGTCGGAAAAAGAAATTGGGGAAAAGTTAGGAATTAAACAAGTTGATAAATTAGAATATCTTTTATTTCGCCATATCGATTACTTTACTTTGGATGAATTAGTTGATTATGCTGGTGAATTGTTTCCTTCTTTTCACTTAGCCATTCATGAAGAACCTTTTATTCCGGTTCGTAAATCCAATGGCCGTTTAAGAAAACACGCTTAATTTATGCCTTGTAATGGATGTGAAAAAATAATTAAATCCTTGTTCTGCCTTGTATAAGATTTTCCTCGTTTTGACCCTGTAGTAAATTAGTGAAAAATAAATTAT